TGTTTTTGCATGAGCATAATATAAGTTCAAACATCTGTGATGTTAGCTTGAAGAAATCTCAATAAAAGTACAAAAATGGCTCAAACCGACTTAATCAAATCAAATGCTATATATAAAATGTAAAAAACGGTATGTAATGTTGTTTATAATTTTGTTGGTTTTCGAGGTATGTGCAAATTGGCTCCACCAAAGTGAGTGGAAGAATGTGATATACATTAATTTAGAGAATGCAGCAGCTCAATGGTTATGAACAATCATAAAAGCAAGTTTCACACACTTTGATTTTATGTTTAATATATTTCATAATTTAGTTTAATATTTAATACGTGTATTTATAAACATTTTATTCATAAAACAAACTTATATAATTGATGAGTTATATACATAAACAGAAACACATTTGATTACAAATCCTTATAGAATTCAACATCTACTAATATAATTTTATTTATTTATTTATTTATTTTTTTTTTTTGTATTATTGCATGAAGATGTTTGGTAAGAATAAACCGGATGATAATGTGAATATATAAGATGAAGATGTTTGGTAAGAATAAACCGGATGATAATGTGAATATATAAGAATTAAGATTTGAACTTGTTCATTTACATATAAGTTGTTATTCATTATTCATTAAAATGTTTGCACAAGCAGAGTGGTTTACAATACTAACTGTTTACATAAATTTACCGAGACCTCTGTAATCATAATGGACATATATAAATATCACTGGACATGTTCATCTAAACAGAAACATCAAAGAAGTTATTGGTGTATACATAGAAATAATTTATCTATCTCATACATCATATGAGTTTGTTTGATTTAATTTTTCTTTTATTACCCGTGTTGATGTTTTCTTTAGGCATATCTCTCTTTTTTTTTTTTGTGTTGTCTTCATTGTAATTGCATTGTTCATCATTCTCCATCTCTTTATGTTGTTGTGGTTGTACTTCAAAAATCATTTAGCAAGGCTCATGCAGTACTCTAAACAATCTGAAAAAGACAAAGTAACAACATTAATTTGTAGAAATATGTATGCAAGACGTATAAGAAGGTAAAAAAAAGACGTATAAGAAGGTGAATGATGAGTTTTCGATAACAACTGACGACATTTAAAAGACTTGGTACACTGAGATAGTGTGGTAGTATACCATAAGAAATATACACATGCAGATGTTAAAGGTTGGAAACCGACATATATTTATTTATTCATTTTATGGATAATAGATATAAAATACGGCAAATTCCTACTAAATCCCCAATCCTTTTTTTATTTGTCTTGTCAGTCCCCAAGATAATTAATTTCCTCTGCACTCCCTCTTACACATTTCTCTTTCCACTTCACTCCCCATATATATACTAATGTTATTATTTTTCATTTATTTTGGCTGAAACCTTTTTTAATT